TATATATATACACACACACACACACACACACATACACATCAACTGACAGTTAGTCACTCGGTACCGTATAAGGCCAATCCAGCCATGAGATAATTTATCCCAAAATGTAAATGATACGTACAAGGTCCATGTCCAGGGAAATTCATCACAATATAAATAAGTAAGGCAAGTCCATGCGCTGGGAAGTCCATCCCGAATATATAATCATCAACGCTCACTGGGGTATGTACAGACTCCGGAGGGGCTCCTTCAGCCCAAGCGTGATATAAAACCGGTATGGCCTACTGCAGGCGGGCAGTCCTGATCCGTATAATAATAAAGCCTATAAGGCCTGCTGCAGGCGGGTATCCCCGATCCATATAATAGTAAAGCCTATAATGCCTGCTGCAGGCGGACAATCCCGATCCATATAATAATAATAATAATATATATAAAGCCAATATGACCTGTTGCGATGCACAGCTCGATCCCATAAATATCCTCACAATGGATAAATATGACTGAGTGTGAAATGTATATTTTTAAAATAATTAATTTAACAGCCCCAAAATATCGGCACGTAGCCTAAACATGATCTTTAATAAGAGCCTCAGCTCAATTTCTCTAACACATGGGAAATGTTCAGATAATAACATGATTCTTTAATTTTTTACAACTTCACAGAATTTATTCAAGTCACAATTTTAATGGTGCACCTCCACACGCTCATCAACTATCATGTGCGTCACCTTCAAATAATTTATATAACACCAATTCGGGGACTCATACCCTCAGAACCAAATTTAGAAGTGTTACTTACCTCAACCCGTGTAATTCTTTTATTCTTCTATGCCTTTGCCTCGTGAATTGGCCTCCAAACGCCTCAAATCTAGCCACAAATAATCCGATTCAGTTAATAAAAATTATTGGAATTAATTCCATATGAAAATACAAATTTTCCATAAAAATCCAAAATTTAATTCAAAAATCATCTGTGGGGCCCATGTCTCGGAACCCGACAAAAGTTATAAAATCCGAAAGCCTATTCCACCACGAGTCTAACAATACCAATTTTACCAAAATCCGACCTCAACTCGCCCTAAAATCTTCAAATTAAACTAAGAGGGTTTTCTAAATTTTTCAACTTAATCCACCCATTAAATGATGGATTCAAAGGCATAATCATGGAAATTAACCAAAACTGGATAAGAATCACTTACCCCAAACACCCACGTAAGAATCTCTCCAAAAATCGTCTTCTACCGAGCTCCCAATTCGATTTTGTGTTATGAACTCAAAACTCTCGTTTTGGAACTTTTAATTCTGCCCAGATATGACTTCATCGCGAATGCGACCTCACCCTCACGTTCGTGTAGAACAATCTGACTGCCCCTCGAATTAACCGTTCGTTGACCCCTTCCTTCGCGAACGCAAAGGTCAAATGCACGGGGTCCCCAGCTGCCTCCTCTCTTCTTCGCGAACGCATCGCCCTTCTCGCGTTCGCGATGCTTTCTCAGTCCAAACCTTCGCGTTTGCGTCCTCTCCTTCACGAACGCGAAGAACAAAATTCCTCAGCCCACAGATACCCTTTGCGAATGCGAGACCCCTCTCGTGAATGCGTAAGAGGAAACCAGAAGAAACACACCAGCAGTCTTCAGCCAACATGCTAAGTCCGAAAATGATCTGTTAACCATCCGAAATTCACCCGAGGCCCTCGGGACCTCAACCAAACATACCATCAAGGCCCAAAACATCATACGAACTTAGTCGAGTCTTCAAATCACATCAAACAACGCTAAAATCACGAATCATACCCCAGTTCAAGCCTAATGAACTTTAAAATTTCAAATTTCTACAAACGACGCCGGAACCTATCATATCACGTCCGATCGACCTCAAATTTTGCACCCAAGTCATAAATGACATAACAGACCTATTCCAATTTTCAGAATCGAATTCCGAACCCGATATCAAAAAGTCAACTCCCCGGTCAAACTTTTCAAAAATGCAACTTTCGTCATTTCAAGCCTAACCCCACTATAGACCTTCAAATCACAATCCGGACACGCTCCTAAGTCCAAAATCACCTAACAAAACTAACGGAACCATCAAAATTTAAATCCGGGGTCATTTACACATAAGTCAATATCCGGTCAACTTTTTCAACTTAAGTTTTCAATTATGAGACCAAGTGTCCCAATTCACTCTGAAATCCTTCCAGACCCGAACTAACTAACCCGATAAGTCATAAAATAACTGTAAAGCATAACTTGAGAAGTAAATTGGCAAACGGAGTTATAATACTTAAAATGATCAGCTGGGTCGTTACATCTTCTGAATGAACTTTTTGTAGTCTGACCCCTTCAATATTGGGGGTGTTCCCGGGATCTTATCGACCTTGGAGTTATAAGTTTCACCTTCTTGTCGTTGGCCTCTATCTTTTTTCTCACCAGACTCCACTCATTTTGTCAACGCTTCGAGCATCTTCATCACCTTGAAAGTTTCCCCGAGCCTGAATTCATCTGATTCCATGACAACTTGTTCATTCCTTCGAGTATTTTCCCTGCTCCGCTCGGGCTCGACCATGTTAGGGATGTAACTCTGGGTTTGTAACTGCGCTATTGCCGATTGCTGAGTTTGCAAGATTTCGAAAATCAATCGCAACCTCACCTATCACCTTCACCTTCGGGTGCTTCTCGAGCCGATGGTCGGGGTGCCCCGTGAACGTTATTTTTGGGTCAGTTGGTAGATTGACATTGATGGCAACCTGTGAGTTAGCATCGGCCGGATCGGCGATTGGAACACCATTGGGATCAACAAGGTGCACATCATTGCTAGGTACCACATTTTTGTTCTCGCCTTGGTGTCCTGACTCGGCGTCAACATTCAAGTGAGCAGACTGAGAATTTGACATCCTTAGGTTAACCTAAAATCTAAACTTCAAAGAACAAGCGTAAAACAGGGTGTGTTATGGAGAATCGTATCAAATCACCACTATTATTCTTAGCCCCACGGTGGGCGCCAAATTGTTTACTCTTAAAATGAGTAACAATTAAATTTGCACGCGGTTTAAAAGACACGTGATTTAATTCAATACGAATGATCTAAGAACAACAAGTAATTAAATTAAAGAGAGAATAAATGATCAACCCAATCGTAATGCAACAATCAAGTCTGGTCTCAATTTGAACGCTGAAATTTGGCCTCGACCGAACCCTCGATCTCGGTTACGATTAAAGAAGAGAATGGCTTAAGAACACTTTGAATAATAGCTAGAAGACAAAAATGAACTTTTATTGCTTTGATACGCATGTCAACAGTGTGTTCAAATGAAAAAACAACTCTCCTCTTTATATATTAGGAGAATTTCAGTCCTAATATAAGTCTAAATAAGGTAAAAATCTTCTTTTTCGGTAAATATCGATCCGTAGTTGATATCGGACGAGATTTGTGCCGCAATATTTGGTTGAGGGCGAATATTACGGCTTCATACTTGTCATGCCCAACACTTCCTCCTTTTCCCGTGGGCTCGAAATTTTACTTGGCTCGGGTTCGTTGTTTTGCCGTGTCCAACCCCAGATGCATCGTTCACTCTTCCCGAGTTCGGATACGAGGGATCCTTCGACCTTGTTTGTAGTTATGTCGGACTATGCTTCCCTCTCATTTCCTTATTGGGGAGTCGGAAAAAACATTGCCCCCGATTTTACCCGTACACACAAGCAATAGTAGATTTTAAATTTTAATTTGACGGGTTCAACCTTTTAGTTTTTACTACTTCGAGCTCCACGGTTTTTGGAATTTCGCTATAAGAACTCAAGATCATATTCTACAAATTATAATTCATGCTACTAAAAATCACGATTCTCAATCTCGTTTGAATTTTGATATTGTGATTCATCGGCACAAATTTGTATTTTTAAAGAAGTTTTATTACTTGCCACTTGCCTACGATTCAATTATCGTGCAACCACATAAACCATTTTGATCAAAGAATTAAAATGGACCATGCATATTTTAATGGGGTTTTTATACAGTATGATCTTTCTCAAAATAATAGTCGAAAATAACACGTTTCTTTGGTATATTGATGTATAATATACATATGTTTACTAATCTATATATTTTGTATGTTTGACTAACAGCCATAGTTATTTTGATCAACCGACGAAATGTGTTAAAAGCCTTATTTTAATCAATACAAAGAGCAAATTGAGTTCTACACAAAAGTTAGTTTTGAACAATATAATCTAAGTGATTTTCTCTCATTTACTCAAAGTTAAATATATTATTTTGGATTGACTATTTAGAAAACAAAAGGGTGAACACCATTCAACTCTAGAGTCTACTTTAATTTAATCATCACTAAATATAGATGTTATGATCGAGCCAGCCCAGTTAAAATAGGGAAAGAAAGGGGCGAACGACACAGTTGCAGTATTTTCAATGAGGAACGACGCCGTCTGGTGAAGAAGGAATTAGTTAGGTTAACGAAATTAACCACCATATTAAAAAGGCTAAGCAGCGGATGTGAACGGCTGAGATTAATTTTAATCAATGGCTGAGATCTTTTGCTCTAAAATATTTAAACCCAACGAATTCTGGTAAATTCCCATTCTCCTATTATTGCAGCTTTCGTCTTCCCTCCCATTTTCTCAAAAATGTCGCAACTGGATCCAACTATCTTCAAAACCATAGTCCCATCCCGCTACATTACCTTCATAATCCCAAACCCTTTACTTCATCTCGATCACTTCCATTCTCAAGAACTCCGCATTTCAATTCTTGATTCACCCCTCCCTTCAAAACCGACTCAAATTGCAGCAATGTTAGTTCCAATAAATCGCGAATCAGACTGGATTTTTTCTACAGAACAAGGTCATCTTCAACTCCTCCTCACTTTTTCTCATCTCTCTCGCCTCATAATCATCGGCAATTCACCGAATTCGCCACACCCCACTTCGTATAATCATTCTCCAGTACTCTCCAATTGTATAGCTGATTCATCTGTTGTTGAAGAAAAATTGTTGCCGTTGTTGATTGAGTTGACACCCACATTGGCATTTCGTCGAACAGGTGGTGGGCTACCTGAAATACCTGAAATTCCGTTCTTGAGCTATGAAGATGGGGTAATTCGGAGTCTGGTATTGGAAAGATGTGTTGGACAATGTGTTGGAGAAATGCTGGTAGAAGATGTGGAGTTGGAATTGGAAAATGGGGATAGAGAGTTTAGGAGGAGACTGAGATTCAAGAGAATGCCAAATTTGGTACAAACTCAGATAAGAATCCGTCCCAAGAAAGTGGATTTTGTTGATATGGAAGGCGTTGAATTTGAGGTGGTTGATGATGGGGATCTAGTTCATCCTTATTTGACTCCAATGGTGGCTGGTCTTTNAGTTGATGATGGGATTCTAGTTAATCCTTATTTGACTCCAATGGTAGCTGGTCTTTCAGTAATCGCTTCATATTTGGATGCGCAAATTGGAAAAGGGATAAAGCCAAAAGCCTTGTGTTTGGGTGTTGGAGGAGGGGCGCTTCTTGGTTTTTTGAGTTCCCAATTAGGTTTTCTAGTCTTGGGTGTTGAGATTGATCATGTTGTTTTGGAGGTTGCAAGGAGATATTTCGGGTTGGTACATGGTGACTTAGTCCATGTGTGTGTTGGAGATGCGATAGAAATGATTGAAAAATTCGCGACTAGTGTAGAAAATGATGGTTTACATGGTTGTTGTGATTTGGACGGGAGTGATTGTTTGGGCCAATTTCATGGTAAGTTTGATGTGATCATGGTTGATTTAGACTCGAGCAATGCTAGTATGGGTACGAGTGCTCCTCCTCTACAGTTTTTGCAAAAGTCGGTGTTGTTGGCTGCAAAGACATTGCTTAGCAAAGATGGTGCTGTAATCATAAATGTGATTCCTTCAGACCAGTCATCTTACAAGCAAGTAATTGCTGAATTTCAAGAAGTTTTTGCAGGGCTGTATGAGATAGATGTTGGGAATGGAGAGAACTTTGTTCTAATTGCCTCTACCTCAGAAATTGGACATGTTTTCTGTCATTATCAAAGTAAATTTCCGAATAAGTTGAAACAAGTATCAGGATCTTATGTGGACTCTATAAGAATGATCTGAAGGATTCTTGGTAGCTAAGCTCTTACAGATAACTCAGTGAAAATGTGCAGAAAGGATGAGTCATAGGATAAAGATGAGTCTAATATTTTTTTGTTGATACAGGAATCAAATTGTATATAGTTCATTTGTTGGTATCTTGGAGGATTACAAGCATGATTCTTGCTTTCCTATTGGTTGTTTTTGCATTAGTTGCTACTTCAAATTGTATTTTTTTGTTGATACAGGAATCAAATTGTATATAGTTCATTTGTTGGTATCTTGGAGGATTACAAGCATGATTCTTGCTTTCCTATTGGTTGTTTTTGCATTAGTTGCTACTTCAAATTGTATTTTTTTGTTGATACAGGAATCAAATTGTATATAGTTCATTTGTTGGTATCTTGGAGGATTACAAGCATGATTCTTGCTTTCCTATTGGTTGTTTTTGCATTAGTTGCTACTTCATTAATCTTTGAATTTTGGAGCTAACAGTTAACAGATCTTCCCTATAAGTAGAGAAAGCCGCCCACAGCTCTCTGTTTGCCGTTTTCTTAGGAGTTGATGGTTTTGAAACAATTAATATCATATAAAATCTCATATAGACAATAGTGTTTGGTTGCTTTGTTGGCATAAGCAAAAGTAATCAAGCTTTTGGTTGGCAGTATTAAATAGTACCTCCATCAAGTTATGTGAAAATTTATCTACTCCATTATTTATAAGGATAAATAAGATTACGTTAAACTATTTAAAAATAAAAATATCCTTTTAAAGTAAGTAATTCGTGTATAACGATCCTTCATTATTAATAAGGGCATAACAATCCTTTCATTGCTACTTCTTGCATAAACAATCATTGCATTATAATCTCCGCATAACTAGTATGCAAACAGAAAAAAAAATTCTCCCTAACATAATAAAATCCAAATTGGAGTTGGTACAATATGAAAGCAGGACCCTAGCCTTCAGGGTGGTTGTTGGCTCATTGGTTAATTTATTAGGTAAAGAAAGCTCTTCTTCATTCTTTCCTCCACCAACGTGCATATGGGCATAATCGACGGTGAAAATAGANTGTATTCAATGGCGAAAATAGGAATTTTTCTAAGAGCGTTCAAGATTTAACATAAGTGGCGGATCCAAAATTTTAAAGTTATGGGCTCCCACCGATAAAAATATCAGAAGAAGAGGAAAAATGAATTTAGTGATGGGTGATCACTCAATACTTATCTAAAATTTTTTATAATTACCTATATAAATTTATTAAGTTTGGCCAAAGACAATGGGTGCTTAAGCACCTGATCACGCTCAACACTAGTCCGAAAAGGATAAGCGGTCGCTGCAAATATAATCCGGTATAAAAGTCCGGAGTCAAATCCCACAGAGAACTAAGGTTTAACTACAACTGTTGACTATCACTAAGAAGACAAGCTCGAACAATTCCTAAGTTATAAATACAAAGATTCTTATCTTAAACTAATTAACTAACAAATTAAAGAAGTGAACTAACAACTAAAGATACTAAGGGGTGGAGACAAGATTAAGGAGGTCTAGAGTTATGATTTCCCCAATTGTCGGAATCCTTCCCGCTACGTCTTCTACAATATCGCCTAAGTATTCTCTACCGATCGTGAGTACTTTGGGTGTCGTAGCTCTCTCTCGAGCAACTACCACAATTTACTAGACGTATTCTCTCGAACTACGCTAGCTGGCACTAATTCATCGCTCACTACGATCGCACCAAGGTTTCGTTATCTCTAATCCCGCCTTTAAACCCTCCATATTGATCTCTCACATATATTAGGAGTGATGTTGTTCAACAATTACCTAAATGTGTACTCTCTCGAGCAATATACATACTAAATAAGCACAGTCAATTGTTGGTCATTCAATCAACAGCAATAAATACGTAGTTGAACAAATAGAGAAATCCAACGACTCAATTATATAAAAACATAATAAGAATTCATCTTACAAAAGGTTCCATCAAAACCCTAGATAACAAATTAGTTATTCATAATAGTATGCAAAANATACAAGCCCACTTTGAAATAGCCTTTTTAGGATAGCTCGTTCATTCTCTCGTGCGCACGCGAGAGTGAACAAGCGAAGTTCTTCTCTTTTTCTTTTCCTTCTAGGTCTCTCGTGCACTTCCATGCCTTTTTGCCATAATACGTTATTTTTTCTCAAGCTTTTTCTCAGCTAACTCGTTCACTCTCTCGTGTGCACGCGAGAGAGAACGAGCAAAGTTCTTCTTTTGTCTTTTGGTCCTTAATCAACTTCTTTTGCTCATTTTTTGCCCAACATGCTCCTACACATAAGAATGCACGTAGTGAGCATAATTCACTACAAAAACTCATGTAACCTACCGTAACCACACAAGTTATGAGATGAAAGTACACCGAAAAATATGTACCCCATGAGATGTTAATGCTTTGACGTTTGGCCTACCGGGGAGTTTCTTTTACCAAAGGCAAGAAGCAACCCACTTGTGCCTCCAGGTTATGAATAGTTGCTTCTTGCCTTTGGATAGTATCACATAGCCTTTGTATTTGCACTTGTTTCTCATTACTTTATTTCATGAAATACTTTAACATATATTTGATCTCCTTCAGATCAGCTTCTCTGGGTTCTTTGTTCCTGTTAACCTCACAAGAAAAAGTAGAACCATCATAATAAGGGGTTGGGGAAGGATAAGACATACAAGTATAATCAGAAAAATAATCATCTTGACCACCACACATATCACACATATTCCACACATAAGATTGAGTTGGTGCACATAACTCGTTCTCGGGAATATTTTGACAATTTTGCAATGAGTGGTTTTCTCCATAATATGTATAAGGAGGATCAAGAGAACGGCTCAATTATATAAAAACGTAATAAGAATTCATCCTACAAAAGGTTCCATCAAAACCCTAGATAACAAATTAGTTATTCATAATAGTATGCAAAACTACAATACTAGAATTCATAACCAATAATGAAAATAAGAAGAAAGAAGTGAAAAACTCGTAAAAGTATTCTCCGCCTTGCTCTTAGTATGTTCTTGCCTCCTTTGGTCGATAATCCTTTCTAAGAACGTCCCCATCTTCCCTCAAAAGTGAGTTTAAAGACTATTTATATGGGATAGGGTTAACATGGGGCGAAATAATACAAACCCACTTTGAAATAGCCTTTATAGGATAACTCGTTCACTCTCTCATGCGCACGCGAGAGTGAACAAGCGAAGTTCTTCTCTTTTTCTTTTCCTTCTAGGTCTCTCGTGCACTTCCATTTCTTTTTGCCATAATCGTTGTTTTTTCTCAAGCTTTTCCTCAGCTAGCTCATTCACTCTCTCGTGTGCACGCGAGAGTGAACAAGCAAAGTCCGTCTTTTGTCTTTTGGTCCCGAATCAACTTCTTTTGCTCATTTTTCATCTAACTTGCTCCTACACATAAGAATGCACATAATGAGCATAATTCACTACAAAAACTCATGTAACCTATCGTAACCACACAAGTTATGAGATAAAAATACACCAAAAATATGTATTTTTGGCCGTTTATCAGCACCCGTAAGACTCTTTGTGGATCCACCCCTATTTAATATAGTATATGTATAAAAGGTAATGCTATTTGATTTATACACAGTAAAATTTTCGGGGATATGTGTTCAACTGCCCGCCCTTCAGCGTATAGAAATATGATTTTTTTTGTTCTTCGACTGAAATATACATGACTCTTCTAAGTGGGCTACTCCTGAGTCCTGATTACGAGTTGATTAATAGCAACTAGGAATATTTTTATTTTATGTAACGAGGAATGTAAGTGGACACAGGCAATCCGCCCCTACCTGACATACTGATCCTGATGTGTAACATGTTAATAACCACTAATTAATACTACCCTCCATTAACAATTCCTGATTGTTACTTAAACAAAAAGACAATATAGAGAAGCAAACATGATAAGTTGAAAGAACAGTCTCTCTTTCCACATATATACAATATTAATCTCTTAGCATTTCCGTTAATTAATAGATAAAATTATTTAATTAATCTTTTGCGTAGTACTAAGTTTGAAACCCATTCAAGGAAGACGGACGCGACAAAGGCTCGTCATCTTCCACTATGCATATTGATCAAAACCAAATAGAGAGATTAATTAATCATATTAAACAATAATTATCCGATTATAATCTCTAAGGTATTTATTGGTTCTAACGTTATTAAGAGGAAGGGAAAGGGAGAAATTAACCATCATCTAATTAAATTATTTCATTGGAATACATGTCTAAGATTCATCCAGCAGCAGATCATCACAGAAAGCGAAGCAAACCTCGTGTCTCCGACGATTATGAACAGAGCCAGAGTCAGAATTTAAATCTTATAAGTTCGAAATTTTAGTCCTCTTGAATTATATCGAATTAATAACTTGTTCATATTACATGAATTTCTTTGAATCAAAATTACTGCTTCTTCCCAAGCCGCTTCCTACACTCTAACTCTGCCCCTGATTATGAAATAATTATTCATGTGTTCTTCCTCCAGCTCCTGCAGGTCGCTTAATAAGTAGGCCGCCGCCGGCTGCTGCCGGCGCGGCGTCTATCTTCACAGTGTGGAAGAGATCGAGTATGAGTTTTCAAGGGACAGATGGATTCACGGTGTTTGATAAGGTAGGCCGCTTAGTTTTCCGGGTAGACAACTACACCAGAAGAAAGAATTGTTCCATTGCTGCTGGTGCTGGCCGAGGAAGATCTGGTGGTGGTGGACTTGTACTCATGGATGCACATGGTAAACCTCTCTTAACATTGAGACCTCAGGTATTAATTACATGTATATATGCCTTAATTTTTTGTATTCTCGCCGATTTAAGGTGATTTGTGTATCTACTCCAATAACAGTACTACTTCCGGTTCACAATAAGTGATTTTTTGATTGTTTTCACACAGATTAAGAAATTCATCTTTTAACATTAATTAGCAATGAAATTGACTATATTAACATTTATTATCTCTTTATATAAACACTCGTAACACATACTCCTACACTATTTACTCCAATGGGCAGTGTAGAAAAAAATAATTAATTTATTCTTGAAATCTGAAAAAATCACTTATTTTGGACCACAAAAAAAAAGGCTAAAAAATCACTTATTGTGGACCGGATGAAGTATTAATACGTACCATTACGGGAGAAGAGTCGGACATGGTGTACAACTTCACGAATGAAAAGGTCCATTTACAGGTCAGGATCATAAAGGCGGATATAGGATCCTAACAACGTCATATAGCCCTTTTGACCTGCAAAAATCAGTTTATTTTGATAAGCGTTTTTTTCATAAGTACTTTTGGTGAGAATAGTTTGTGTTTGACTAATTAATTTGAAACCACTTCTGAGCAGCAATTAGTGTTTGGCCAAGTTTTTTAAAACTGCTTCTAAGTGTATTTTTCTCAAACGTGCTTTTCAAAAAAGTATTTTTGGAGAGAAGCTACTTTTTTCTGCTTCTCCAAAACTCAAAAGCATCTTTTTTTCTACTAAACGTTTGGCCAAATACTTCAACTTTTAAAAAAAAAAATGCTTTTAGCTTTAGAGAAGCTTGGCCAAACAGTCTAATAATAGTATGCTCAATTATTTCTTTAACTTAGCTATGTTAGGCACTTTAACCATTGTTGTAGCTCATTTAGGGTAACATAGATATTATTTTGGGAGAAGTTATCCTTATTATCGTTATTGATACAACAGACATAGAGACTATTAATTCTTTTTCCAAATTGGAATCCTTAAAAGAAGTCTATGGGATCATATAGATGCATGCCTCTTCTTCTTCTTTTTTATAGATGCTTGTCCCTACTTTGACTCTTGTATTAGGAATCATAATAGTTGAATTTGATTTTCACCATTATTTTCATATCCGTAATAGTGTGAAACGAAAGCCTGCCTCGAAGTTGTTCAAAAATAGTAGTGACATTGAGTTTCTCGACCCTTTGACTTAGGATTAGTCAGTTCTATGATCATCTCAAAATTTCTTATATTACGAATTACATAATCATACTTAATCTTGAACATTTAACAGTTGAGGAGCATGCAATTACAATACGAATGGAATGCATATAGTGGAGGGAAAGAAGAAGATGATGATAGATCCACTCCAAACAAATCTCCTCCTTTGTTCGTAATGAGAAAACCCCCATTATCACTGCTTATGATGATGCGAACAACTGCGACTAACTCATGCCAGGCTCAAGTCTTTACTGCTGCTGAAGAAAATAATAATGTCAGTCGTCCCGATTACAGAGTGGAGGGTTCATTTCGTAGGCGAAATTGCAACATAACCAATTCTGCTGGTCATATTGTAGCCAATATATCAAGAAAATTAGCCAACGCTACTACTCGCACTACCGTTTTGATTAGCGACGATGTTTTTAGCTTGGTGGTACAACCAGGCTTTGAACCTCACATTTGTATGGCTTTTGTTATTGTCTTGGATCGCATGTATCCTAACTCATATGCTCCCCTTGTTTGTTCTTAAATAATTGAATTTCATCTCTAAAATTTCAAGGGGTTTTGAAAAGAAAAAGAATTTACTGTGAATGAGATTCTTCAAATACAATGTAATTTTTGCGTTCGCTTTATTCTTGCCTCTAAAACTTATCTTGGTTAGTGAATTTTGGAAAAAGCCTCCTTAAAGATGGAGTTACGTTAGTCAATCTGGTTTGTCGACAAAATCATTCTGAATTAAATTTACCTACTAAGTTAGGACCTTAAGGTTTGGGTAAAAGAAAAGGTTACCTACTAAACTATTCTAGGTAGCCTTTGCTCACTTGTTAATTTGATATGTTAACATGTTTATATGACCACTGAACTTCATACTGAATTAAATTCAGCAAGAGATAGGTCTTTCTGTTGCATTTTGGAATTAGATATGGAACTATTATATCGAGTTGAGGTTATGTTTTAGCTTAAATCTACTAATTCCTTAGTTGCACAACCAATTCATTTTTACCTTAGTTGTACTAATATTAGATACTAAGGTGAAAGCATCAGAAGAATATAAGTCACTGCTCATAACCTGTTCCAGTTCATGCATTTCTTTCACAAAATGCGGCAGCACACATACAACAACAAACCCAAATACAAGTGCAAAACAACAATACAATGTAGTTTCAATTTAATCTACAGAGTCCAAGCAACACAAAAGAAAATACTATTTCATATATTATCTTTACACTTAAAAATTAGTGCACAAAAAGGGAATTACGTACCCAAATGGCTGAATACTAGGACAAAGTACAAACTAGTAATCAAAGAAGGGTAATTAGAATGAAAATAAGAAGAGCAGCAATAAAAGAGTACTTAAGAGCAGCAAGTAGAATAGCTAATGCTATAACAAACAGCTGCCACAATATACTTACACTAGCCCATGTCAGCAGACCCGTTAATCCAACTGCCACAATATTATCCGGGTCCGGGTCCAATATCAGATCCACCCATCTCAAATTCAATCTCGGCCTTCCTCCATTACTATTATTACTTCCACCGCTTTCACTTTTTTCCTTTACCTCTTTATCTGAGCTAACGGTATTGTTATTCCCATTTTCTGCTGCACAAACAAGAATGGTTGTTCTTTTAAGGTAAATTTTTGAGGGCCGAGATTTGAGGGGTGAAAATGGAAATTTGAGACTGTGAAGGGGGTAAATGGAAAAAAGGGATTTGGTAATTGATGGGGTTGGTAGAATTAGGGGTGAATTTGAATACGAGGGTGATATTGATACTGCCATGAAAATACAGCAGATTTGATTGAGGACCTCGTATTTGAGGTACAGGGAATAATGGAGAGGAACGAACAAAAAGGCGTTTTTTTAAAGCTAAAATTACGACTTCACCTCTTCAATTATTTCTTTAAGCACTTTGGTACTCATAACTTTCTACAATGTTGCTTCTAACAACAACAACAACAAATGGGGAAATATGTGTTGAAGTGTGTGTGACCATATCATCTAAAATTGTAAGTCGTTAGTGAAAACACATTTTTATTTAATTATGTTTTCAACACGTCCACTCATGTACGGGCTTGATTCTGTTGAGCCAAGCATGCGAAAATTATTTTTTATATTAGGTGGCGGTGAGACACGAATCCATGACCTCTGTCTGCTCTGATAACATGTTGAAGTGTGTGAACATCTCATCTAAAAGTTTAATATATTAGAGTTAAGACACTTCTATTTACTTAATTACATGTCTTTATGTGGACCTTACCCCTATCTTGCTCAGGTAGAGAGACTGTTTCTCATAGACTCTCGGCTAAAGAAAAGAAAAATCACATCAATTATAAAAAAGTAATACTGCAGTATAAAAGTAATAGAATGGAAGTAGTAACAATAGCTAGATAATAAGATAGCCGAAGCAAAAGCAACAATATGAAGTAAAAGAAATCTAAGAATAAGAAAATACTACAAAAATACTAATACTACTAGTGTAGAAGGAAAATACGCTTGACTACCTACTAATCTTCTATCCTAATACTCGACTTCTACATCCTTCTATAAAATGTCATGTCCCTTGAAGAAATTATATCATAAAACAAATGCAAAAGAAAAAAAATTATGAAATTTAAAAGAAAGTTATGGACCAACATGTTTTTCTATGTGTTCTTTGATGTGATTGAAAATATTTTTCATCAGGAACGTTAAAATAACTTGCCGAACTTATGAGCGATAATTATTCTAACCGAAAAAAAAACGATAACTATTTTTTTACAGATGTTCCAACTATTATTTAATTTAACCCTTTAAATTAACAAATATCATCAAAACATTATCATGATAATATTATACGTCTTGTAACATGACGAATGCTTACTTTTTTAACAATTTTATTAATCAACCAACTGAAAAATGACAAAAAAAAAGTATGTTCTCTAATAAAAATTAGGGTAAATATCACTTTTAATTCATGCCAAAAATCTATATAAATCTATAAAATAGGGGCTAAAAAAAGGTGATGTGGACCAGCATTTATATTTATCTATTTTCTCCTCTCTTTTTTTACAATTTTTCTTTTATTTGTATTCTACTAAATAGAACAAACAAAACGGTTTCGATTAATAAACCCTCCAAAAGACGCCTTTTCACACGCTTCCACCAGAAAAGAGCCACCTTACGATTATCTATCTTCCTCATTAAACGATCTCTCTCTCCATTGAAACTGATGGCATGACTTTTCTCTCCATTGTAGAAAACTAATTTCTTACCTATCTCTTAATCCGGCAGAGGACAATCAGCAAAGCCACACTTAATCTTCAACAGAGTAAGCACATAATATCAGCCGGCAGTACCTTCTCTCTCTTTGCTACTGCTTCTTCTTTCCCTTTTCCCCTTTCCCTTTTCCATTTGATAGTTCTATCTATTTGCCTTTTCATGTTCCCATTGTTCTGATTACATTTGCAGATTTTATTCGTTTTTTCTTTGTTGTGTAGTATTTTGCTTTTGAGGCTTTCTTTATTTCACAATTCGTATTTTTCTGCTTGCAACTTTGCATGCAGTTCAAATTTATCTAATTGAGTTGCTTAATAGAGCCACTTATTGGTTGATTTTCGTGTTGATTTCCTCTTTTAGGTTTCAGCATTCGCCCTCTATGATCAAGTTTCATTTATTTCCGTCAACGATTTTGAGCAAAGCTAATCTCACCTGTTTGTGTTGTATGATTTCAACTGCTTTTTAAATTTATTTAACTATTTTGGTGAAACACTTCGCTTATTCGTTGTTATTGTGTTGATTATTCCCTCTTGTATTTTGATTATTCATAGTCTTATAGCAGAGATGCGGCAAAGTGCAGAACGAGGGCCTACATAGGTCACTCTTGAAATTTATGGTTCATTTACAAATGAGATACTATATTTCTTTTGCCTTTTGATTTACTTATGTTGCAGTTGGGTCTAATGTATGAGGGGGAAATGAAATTTGTACTTTTAAAGTAGATGTATTAAAGTATGTATCAACAACTTGCCATGATTTCATAGAGCTTGCTTTGAGAGGGTATTATGATATGTCAAATTCCACAGAGTCATCACGGTTTTTTTCCTCGTATCCTTCTAATGTTGTCAATTTTATATGATTTTAGATCTTTATTTATACTATTTTTTGGTAGGATTTCATTGTTTGGGTTGGAGATCCAACCGGTACGGGAAGAGATGGAGAATAATCCATTTATGGCTATGTTGTAGTCTAAATGGCTTTGTGACTACTTTTAGCAATACCAGTTAGAACTGCCGGTGAAAGTTGATTTCCCTGGTGCTAAGTTTCATAGCGATTCATGTCCTTTGAATGCTGACTTACTAGAGCGTGTTACGATTTTGTTTTAGATTTTTCTTCTACTGTAGGTCTTCAATGAAGGGCATATAACCTTCCGAGAAAAAATAGCGGCTAAAGAATTTAGCCCAAAAGAAAGTTGTAGTGATAATGTCTCCCTTTCTTCCTCTTCTTTCTCCCAGGTAACACATACTTCAATTACATGCGTTACTTGTGTAATGCTTTTATAGAGTTTAGATCCTTGATCAGTATGCTTCTTATTGTAAATTTGTAGGGCTAAGCGAGCGTGTTTAGCATTCCTAAATTTGAGGACCCAAGTTCAGAGAAATACCAATTCCATTTGCTATACATAGCCATAAAGAGCAGGAAAGCAAGAAAGATAGAAATTTCTACTATGATAGCAATTTTGATTAAAGATATTGAACTGGTACTTGTGCATTTGTATCACTTCCTTTTTTTCATGAAAACCATTTACTATATTGTATAGAGAAAATTTTTATTAAACTTTTAGGGAAAACGGCTTTTTGTTGTTAGAAGGCAAATTTGTGGTTATCGGCATCAAGTGTCGTCCTCTTAGGTACCCAAAGATAGAGTACTATGTTATGTTGGCAGCGGTTGAAGTCCACCATTATAATGGAAGTAAATTTATCTTCTTATATATGTGCTTTTAGGTATCTAAACTCTGTTTTATGCCATGCCGGTTTTTACGTATGGCAAGAGTTGGTGTAAGAGGACTGATGCATCTTCTTACTATTGTATCTCATACCTAATTTTGAATTAATCTGTCTAATCCCTTTCGCCTGAAATAGTATTTGTAACATACTTTTATTGTCATTTTCAGTTGTTCATTGTGGAGCAATGTGTCAACGGATTGCACGAGAAAATATGTTTTCGAAGTAATTGACTGCATTGGAGAAGAGAAGGATGGGTTTCTTCTAAAAGAGCTCATCAAAACTCATAATTCTCTAAAAAATTATATATATTAGATACAAGTACTTTTTGTGTGTGATACAAGTACTCAATGGAATATTGAAGGTGCAACAAGTTACTTCAGAGATCAGTGATGATACTTTATCTGTATGAGTAGTTCTAATTAATTGAGTTATGTTGGTCTGAGATAGTAAGAAATGTTGGCCATCAGGACCCTTACTAACTTATGATGTGATGCAATTTGTAATTTCTTATATCTAATTTGTATTTCTATATCAGCTTGGATGTAATTATGGTATCGTAACAAAAAAAATTATTTTTTCTTCTTAACAAAAGTGTCTTGGTCTCTTAGTGGCATTTTGGATTGACATCCCTTAGGAAAGCTAAATGCATTATATCTGCACAATCATCTCGATATTAGAGTAAGCGGCGGACTTTGTGCAGTATTAAGCCATATGTTTCGGCATGATATATATGTAAATAATTTCCCTTTTTCAATAACCACATTTAACTAACCATTTTACTCTTTTGTATTCCATATAATACATGTAAGCATTCACTTCATATTCTGCTTTTGTATTACTTTTATTGAACAAGATTATATTTTTCACTTTAAAGTCACAAAGAAGCACTTAGTTCTTCCAGAGCTCCAGAGAGCTAGACATATCTATGGCACTTCTTAAGCTAATGAAATTAGTTGCTTTGTTGTCTGTGGTTTGCCAAAAGAGTGGTATAATGTAGGTCATTAACAAAAGAGTAGGCTTTTGTTTCCCACAAAACTATTAGAACAGGTACAGTGTAGTGTGCCAACCTTTAATATCCCAAGCTAATAGACATGTACTGATTACATTCGTAATTGATTAAGGAATGCTTCAAAAAATATAGTTGTAAAAAAATCTGTTTTAACTTCTCAAACTTTTATTTAATTTAGAAAATAAGTGTTTGATATTACTAATGTTCTTTAACGCAAATTCACTAGTTATTTATATTTCGTAGCCGAAAAAGTGTATAAAATTTGCATATTTTTTATATATAACGTACAATATATATATACACACACAAAAAAAAAATTCAGCTATTATTTTAAGAGCGGCTATACAATATCATTTTTCCTAAAAATTATCCATACCAACTACTCCCTCCGTCTTATTATGTGTCGTGTTTCTCTTTTACAAGCCCCTTAAGAAATATTAATTAGGAAGGGGATTAGATTATTCTGCCCTTGTTTATATCTTAAGATATAATCTCTCTTCATTGGATATTTATTCTATTTATGTGTTATCTCTATCTTAAAGAACAATTATTACTAAGGGTAAAAAAGGAAAAAAATAATCAATTTTGTCTTGAACTTCAAAAATGATAAATAATTTGAGACAACTATTTTTTGTAGACATCACTATTAATATGAGAATGAGGGAGTATTACCAAGTACCTAGCTAACGTCGAACTCAATGGCAACATGTAGGGGTGTTCATAAAAATTCGAAAAACCAAATCAAACCGAAAACCGAACCAAACCGACCAAAAAACCCGATATTTTTTAGGTTTGGTTTGGTTTGGTTTTGGTTTTGAATTTTAAAAAATGATCAAATTTGGTTTGGTTTTGGTTTTAATCAAAAAATAATCGGAAAAAACTGAACCAAACCGACTATAGAAGTAGCTATTTAAATTTATATTATATATATATATATATATATATATATATATATGTATGTATGTATGTATATTTTTATATAAAGTTTCTAAAATTTTATGGTACATATTAGTCGTTTGTATTTTTAGTTTTGTTCTTTGCTATTATAATAATCTAATTCTTTGCCTTTACATTCTAGTTTGATTGGTAGTTTTCTTTTGCTAAATACAAGAATTTATTTCATGTTAAATAATTAATTTTTAATTGAGTACTTAAATTATTCATTACTATTTTATACAATTATCATCAATATATCTTGATAAATGGTAGATTTCTCAAAAAGCAATTGATTTGATAATGTTACGTTGAAAATGTAGTCGACGAAATATGTGTTTGGTAGTGTATGTCTCATATTTAAAGAAAAAATCGATAAATAACCGAAAAAATCGAAAAACTGACAAAAATCAAATCGATAAAAAATCAACTTAATTGGTTTGATTTAGTTCCAATATTCGAATAACCAACTTACTTAGTTTAATTTTTTTTTAGAAAAAAATCGATCCAAACTGAAACATAAAACCCCACCAATAGGGACTAACGAGAAGCAATTAGAAGCTCCCATCTCTGGCAGCAGAGGCTGGACACTTCTCAAAAAACGATGCCAACACTAATTTTCTATAACACGTGGCGATTATATATACTCGACACTTTTCAAAAAAGCACTCAACGTCTCATTTATCAAAACGAAAAATTACGAGTAAAGAGTGCAATTAGAACAAGCAAGGAGCAAAAAGCTAAACCGTGTAGATCAGAGCCAAATTGCGAGAAATTCCAAGTTACTAGGAAGCAAAAAATAGAGGAAGATGGAGAAAAAGAATGAAGCATTAATAGTTGAGAAACAAAAGGAGAAACTAACACAAATAGAAAAGTGGCTAAGGAAGCACAAATTGCAGTACACTGCAGCCACTAGACACCCTTTTATTAATAGCATACATGATGGTTCGATCGACTTCTCTTCCTTCAAGATATGGCTGGTAATTTAAGAATTCAACTTATATATATATTAATTGTGTGAAATTCTTTTACACTATTAGTATAGTTTAGTAGCAAATTACTTGTTTTATCTTTCAAGTTGCTAAGCTTCCGTTTGGCCATAGTTTTTGGTTTTATTTTTTAAAAAAAAAAAAAAAAATTAAAAACATTGTTTGTTTATGAAATATGATCATGTTTTGGGGAAAAAAAATTAAAAATTGTCTATGATGACCCAAAAGGTCATCTTATGTTTTAGAACCCGAATATGCGGTCTTAAGCCTTAAAAATCTCATTTTTACCCTCCTCGATTTGCGTACGCAATCCGGGCGTATTTTCGAAAAACTTTTATGTTGAAAATTGATGAAAATAAGAATTTTTGTCTTAAAAGTAAATTTTAGTTGACTTCGGTCAATATTTTTGGTAAACGGGCCCGCATCCGTATATTGACAGTCCTGGTGGGTCCGTATCGATGGTACCTGGGGGTGTGCCCGGAATCGAATTCGGAGGTCCCCACCTCAAGTTATGAATTTTTGATGAAAATTAAAAGTTTGAAAATTAATTATTTTTAAGAATTGATTGATGTTTGGCATTGTTAGTACCATATCCGTATTTTGGTTCCGGTGCCCGTTACAGGTTCATTATAATATTTAAGACTTGTCTGTGAAATTTGGTGAGAAACAGAGTTGATTTGACGTGATACGGACGTCCAGTTGAGAAGATAGAAATTTTAAAGTGTTCTTGAAAATTTCATTTGATTCGGTGCTAAATTCATAGTTCTAGGTGTTATTTTGGCGATTTGATCGCGCGATCAAAATCGTATGATATTTTTAGACTTGTTTGCATGTTTGGTTTGGACCTCGAGGGCTCGGATGAGTTTCGGATAGGCCACGAGATGTTTTGGACTTGGAAAAATCTGGTATTTTGTTGTAGCAGGTGTTCTGGCATGTCCTTCTTCGCGTTCACGAAGGTACTCCCGCGAACGCGAAGAGTAAACTGATGAGGCCGGAATTTTCTTCTTCACGAACGCGAAGGCTTGATCGTGAACGCGAAGCGATGAGGGCGTTACCCTTCCCGAACGCGACAAGCTCATCGCGAATGCGTAGTGTTAGGCACTAGGGAGGGGAGTCAGTCTTTCCTTTATCGCGAACGCGAGCAATGTCTCGCGAACGCGAAGGCCAAGGGGTAGCCTACGCGAACACGAAGGCTTGGCAGCCTATACCCTTTGCGAACGTGATAGTGTTCTCGCGAACGTGATGAACACTGTCGCCCAGCACTTAACAGAATCCAAAAACGGGAAATGGCCATTTATTTCATTTTCCCAAAAACCAAACGGACTAGAGGCGATTTTCAAGAGTTGTTTTCTTCCCCAAAGTGTTGGTAAGTGATTTTAAACCATTTTCTTTCAATTACCCAATACATTTTATGAATTATCAACCTAAAATCTAGAGTTTTTCATGGTAGGATTAGGGGTTTGGGTAGAAACTAGGGATTTCGAAAATTTGGAGATTTAGACCTCAATTTGAGGTCAGATTCCAAAACCAATTATATATCCGGGCTCGAAGGTGAATGGGTAAATGGATTTTGGTCCGAACCTCAGATTTTGACCAAGCGGGCCCTGGGTCGATTTTCGACTTTTTGGAGGAAAATTTGGGAAATTTAATATATGCAATATAATTGATTCCTTTAGCAATATTTGATATTATTGAGTCATTTTTTAATAGATACGAGTGGTTTGGAGGTGAATTCTAAAGGAAATCTTGTGATTGAGAATTAAGTGGCCTACGGAGCGAGGTAAGTGTTGTGTCTAACCCTGACTTGAGGAAATTAGGAACCTTAGACTATTTGCTATGTGAAATTCATGTGAGTGGCGTATATGTGAGGTGACGAGTACTTATGCGCCGCCAATTTATCTGTTTTTCATGTTTCTTCCGTTTTCTTATATTGTCTTTTTTCTATGCCTAATTACTACGTGTTTATACTAGTGTTGTTAAATTGATCGTTCTTATCATGTTTACGAATTTTCTAGTGATAATCGAGTATTTATTACAAAGTTGAGATTGATATTGTAGACCAAATATTGAAGTAAGGCTTGTACTTGTTATTTTATCTCCCTGTTGTTGTTTATGCATTGCATTATGGTATGGGAGAGTGTTAATGCACGAAGAGTGATGCCGTGCCATATTGTGAGTGTTAATGCACGAAGGGTGATGCCGTGCCGCTTTTATTGTTTTTATGCGAACGCGATGAACACTATCGCCCAGCACCTAACAGAATACAAAAGCGAGAAATGGCCATTTATTTCATTTTCTTAAACACCAAACGAACTAGAGGTGATTTTCAAGAGTTGTTTTCTTCCCCCAAAGTGTTGGTAAGTGATTATAAATCATTTTCTTTCAATTACCCATTACATTTTATGAATTATCAACCTAAAATCTAGAGTTTTTGATGGTAGGATTAGGGGTTTGGGTAGAAACTAGGATTTTTGGAAATTTGGGGATTTAGACCTCAATTTGAGGTCGGATTCTAAAACCAATTATATATCCGGGCTCGGGGGTGATTGGGTAAATGAATTTTTGTCCAAACCTTGGGTTTTGACCAACCTCGGGTTTCGAAAATAGTTTCGACTTTTTG